CCTTCCCTCTGAAATCATCCTCACCTTTTGCTAGTTTTATCCCCATAATGCCCCAGATCGGTGATGGCAAACCTTTTAGAGACCGAGTGCCCAAACTGCAACCCAAAACCCACTTATGTATCATTGGGTGCTGGGTGGGCGTGTGGCCCACTGGGTGGGCGTGTCTTCGATGGTAACGGCACACTGGGTGGGACTAAAAAGTTTAATCAATCAATTCCAACTTTGCGAGATCTTTTTTTGAAGTTGAAATTGATTGACTGATTGAACTTTTTTTTTTTGCACATGGCGGCGGAGGCCTAAAGCGAAAAGATTTTATAAAACCCAGCTGAAGGCCTAGGACTGGGGTGACGGCACGCGTGCCCACAGAGAGGGCTCTGAGTGCCGCCTCTGGCACCCGTGCCATAGGTTCCCCACCACGGCCCCAGATCTATATTTTGGAGGGACAAGCTTTAGGGACCAACTGTTGAAAGCAAAGAGTAGAGCATTTATTTTCCATGAATTCAGAGGAGGCTGGGTTAATCTTGTTCTAAGACATCAGTGTAGTTTTATTTGTAACTGTGTCCAGCCATTGTGCTTTGTAAACACTGGTTTATAACTTAGTGTGAACCCAGCCAATGTGGCTCAGTCAATAAACCGCAGCTGGGTGATGTATGAACCATTCTGTCCCTCACAATTTCTTCAGTAAAACTTCCACTGCTGGAGGGCTGTGCAATAAAGAAAGAGACTATAGTTTTGGCCTGGGATGGGAAATAGGATTTCAGGTAGTATCTTGGGAGATGCCACACCTAAGGATACCAAAAGCAATGAGCACAGCATGTTTAAAGAATTAAGGCCTTTCCATATTTCCACTTTTAGCACAATAAAAGTGCAGCTTTCCATTTATTGCATCTAATTTTGTACATTTGTCGCAGTGGCATCATGTTCAAACAGAGAAGGAATCTGGCACTGCCATTTTTTTGTTTAGTGACTCATGGAATGAAACAATAGAGTTGGTGTCTATACCGTGTGGGAAAATCCATTTTAAACCACAGATGTTTGTCACAGAGATACAATATGCTGATATCTATGGTTGCCCCTTTTCATGAGCTGCAAATGAATCCTATGTTTGTGCTCTTGCATGTTCCCAAGTCTTGCACAACCCTAACCTGGTTAGAATAGCAGGGTGTAACTGGGGAGACCCAGTTCACATCCCCATTCAGCCAGGAGCTACACTGAGAGTTCTGAGATTAAAATGGAAATAAGAGGGAGATGTCAAGGGCTCCCATAGAAAAAGCACAATATAGCTACTGTTCATTACTGATAATGAGGAAACTTGATATGTTATTTCCATGCGTTTTAAAAGCAATATCAAACACAGCTCTCAACTTAGCAGCTTGAACTAGGAAAACGAAGGGAACATGGAAACAAAAACATTGGAAAATAAAATACATCAAACAGAATATTTTATGGCCTGCTGAGCAAAACAAGGCTGCTTAAAAGAGTCAGCATTTACAGATATTTTCTTAGATTTTATTGGACTTAATGATGCCTCTGTGTTGTTATGAAATAAGGAATGAATCTGAGCACTTGCACCCTCTACTGTATTCAAATTATAGTACAGTACGGCATGAGGGTGCTTGAAGGAGAACAAGAGATCTAACTGTCTCCAACACTAGAAAGAACAAAACAGTTGGTGGTACCAGCATGGTCTCCCTTCAGTGCTCTGCATTTAGTCTTACACAACCTTTCTTCGGACTTGGTGATAGTAACAGAATAACAATTGGAAGGGATCTTGGAGGTCTTGCAGTCCAACCCCCTGCTCAGGCAGGAAACCCTATACCATTTCAGACAAATGATTGTCCAGTCTCTTTTTAAAAACCTCCCATGTTGGAGCAACCATAACTTCTGGAGGCAAGTTGTTCCACTGATTAGATGTTCAGTGGAAATTTCTCCTTAGTTCTAGGTTGTTTCTCTCCTTGATTGGTTTCCATCCATGTTTCTTGTCCTGCCTTCAGGTGCTTTGGAAAATAGTTGACCCATTCTTCTTTGTGGCAGCCCCTTAGATATTTTAAGACTACTATTATGCCATCCCAGTCCTTCTTTTCATTAGACTAGGCATACCCAATTTCTGCAGCCTCTCTTCATATGTTTTAGCCTCCAGTCCCTAATCATCTTTGTTGCTCTTCTCTGTACTCTTTCTAGAATCTCAACATCTTTCTTATATTGTGACCAAAACTAAATGCAGTATTCTGTGTGCTTTTACCAAGGCATTGTAAAGTAGTATTAACACTTCACATGATCTTGATTCTATCCCTCTGTTAATGCAGCCTAGAGCAGCACAGTAATACAGTATTATAACTGTTTTAGTCCAGTTGGGACTTGGCCCTCACAAAATCTTGGAACTATTGAACTGAATACTTTATATGGTCAAGTGTGATTAGAATCCCTCATGAGCCTGGGGCCATCTGAATGTGTTAGACTACTGCTTTCACACCCTGTAACCAGCTTGATCAATGATCACAAGTCAAGGATGCCTGATGGGAGGAAAGGTTAATTAGCAAATGGAAGAATTTGTATACCAAAAATGGGAGTTGTGGCCAAAAAATGGGCAACCGTAAACATAGTCTGCACTGCTGAAGAATTCGTTCCACACCTAGCAATTCAAACAATATATTTTTCAGTAGATGTTGCTGTGATGAGTTATTTCTACCTTGGCTATAAAATGAAAGTGCCGTGAAGCTAAATTATTTTTTGAGATGCTTTGGTTCTCAGGGGATTATTGGTGGATTGTTGGTCAGTTTGTGGAAACACTAGCCTCACCCTCCCTGTAACCACACCACAGGGTTTTTCAGGGGAAAAGGGCTTGGCTGACTTTTCAACCTTTCACATTAATGACTTGTAGGATTTTTGCAGACAGCCAGATTAATGCAGTATGAAATAAGAATGGGGAGATAATTTATTTTACTGGCTTATAACATCATGCAGTGGGCTTATTTTCTGGTACCACATTCTTAAAGTAGAGCAGTAATATTTTTCACTCATTTTCAAACTCCTTTGGGAGTTTTTCAGAAACAAAAAGGAAGGAACCAAAACTGCCTTACAATAATAGGCTCAAATGGGACAAACGATCATCCCTGATCATTCCAAAATCTTCACGATTAGAACTTTTTATCAACTGAAACGGAAATGGAGTGATTTCCAGCCTTTGCACATTTGCCTTATCTCACCCTCAAATACAAATAAGAGAAACTTGATAAACTCCAATCTTACTTTTGCTGATAATGATATAAATATAATGAAGAAAGGATCAGGATGAGTAGCCTCGTTGCACAGCCATGCCAGTTTTTGTTTTCCCCAAAGATTTTGTTATAGGGCCATGCAGAAAGTCTTTATATTACTATAGCAACATGTTTAATCTGTTTTTGGTGGTTATTGTTCCCAAATGGCTTGTAGCTGCTCATATGGATGTCCATCTGTACTTAGAAAAGGCAAGACCAGCTTTAGATTTCAGTCTTAGTAAACAAGTCTTACATTACAAGTCAAGCATATCATTTTAATTGCAAAGCCCCTTCCTCCAATTTCAGAATTTGTTACTCCTCCTCCTTAAGCCACCCTGAGCAGAGACACTTGGTGGCAGCTCAGGGTGGGCCTGAAGTTGAGGCCTGGGCCTCAATTTCAGCCAGGTTCCACCACCACTGCCACTCAAAAAGGCCACTGTGTGCCATTCTTCAAGGGTTGCGAACCTTGGGGAAAGGTGGGTGCCACATGGTCCAGTGTTCCCCCAAAACTGTGTGAGAATGGGGCATGCTTTTGAGAATGTTCATCAGTGTCAGATATTGATGAACTTGGCAAGTCATATAAAACATGGCATGTCACCTTTGATATATGTGTCATAGTTTCGCCATCACTGCTCTAGACCATGGCCTGGCTTGAGAATTATTTTTCTTATAAATTGTGGATTCCTTTGTCCACTTTGATTTGCCTCATATCATTCTCTTCCCAGGCATCCAATTTCAAAAGAATCTCTGAAGTTTATTCTCTGACTGTATTCTCTGAAGAATATAAAATGGATGCAGATACTCGTGCTCGCTTTATATCAGCCTGTCCCTTATCCTGTTCTAGAACCTAGCACCTCTTTTTGGAAAAATTTTTTGCAGAATTTGTTTTGTGAGATGCAGCCACCCTCATTCCCCATTTCTACCTCCAGAATTGCCCAAGATTTCTTCTGTGCTTTCTCTCTCCTCCTCTTTCTGTCCTCTGGAGCCATTAGTACCCAGTTTGAGCTCTGGTATCTTGCTCACACGCAGTGTCAACGAGGCAGCTGGAAATCCATTTTCTTATGAGGTGGTCTGTTTGTGTTGATTAGTTTCTACCCGTGTTTCCCTGAAAGTAAGGCCTATATTAACAATAATCCCTAGCTTGACTTTTTGGGGTGGCCCTAATATAAGTCCTATCCCAAAAATAAGCCCTAGGTTTGGGGTGAGGCAAGCACCTAAAAATCAAGCTGGGGTGGGGGTGTGGAGCTGCCCCATCTGCCCCACACCCACTTACCCTGCAGCCCAGGCCTGCATTTCTCAATCACAGGGCTTTCTGGAAGGCCTGTGCAACCAAGAACAGAGCTATGTATTCAATCCACAGCTCGGTTCTACAAGACCTCAGCAGCTGTGCACTAAGCTATGGTTTGAATCCATAGCTTGGTACTCGGCTGCTTAGGCCTTCTGGAAAGGCCTGACTGCAAAATGCAGGCCCGAATGCAGCTGCAGAACTTTGGCCTCAAAAGAAGTGGAACAGCTAAGTGGAGCTGTCGGTGCTGGAGGTGAGGTAAGGCCTACCCTGAAAATAAGACCTGGTGCCTCTTTTGGAGACAAAAAAATAAAAAATAAGACCCGGTCATATTTTCAGGGAAACACGGTAGAACCAAATTCTAGACTGTCCATCTAGCAAATGGGATTCACAATTTGACTGCTGTTCCCCACCTAAGTGGCTCACATTGCACAGACAAACATCACACTGAGAAATAGTCCATCAAACTTTTGATATATTTATTCATGGTGTATAAAGGAGATACTGTGTTTTTTAAAGAAAAGATGGACAGACAAAATTTAAAACAATAGTTATGCTCCATTGACTTAAATGAAACCAGCCTGCATCTTGTTGGTTCTCTCTGGGTTTGCATGAAATGGGTTGAAGTTAATGTGCTTCTTCCCTGGGAAATGCTTATGCATAACAGCAATGAACTACTAGGGATGTCTTGGAAGCAGCTGTGAACCGTTTTAAACAAGGTAGAATGCTGGTTCTTTTTTTCCTTATTATTATTATTTGGGAAAATAAGTCTGCAGTGGCTGACTGGGGCTCATGCCACTGCAGACAAAGTCGATACAATACTATCTCTCTTGTATCTTTCTTGCCACGATTCATTCCCCCATCTAGTTATGGGGCATAGAAAATAAAATGGGGTCAGCCCCATTTTTGAGGGGCTGCTTTAGAATGTGCTGTCAGTACGAGAAATTGATCAACAGGGTTAACCCTCTTATCCTTTATTAGAAGTCACGGTCAACTATAGGGAGTTAATTTAAAACTTAACTGTCCCAAAACTACATTGCTGATTTCTTCCTTGACCCAAAGAAATAAGTCATGGGAAGAAAGCCAAATGAACAGCTCTCTTGACTACCATTTTGTTCTCCTAGGAACATCATGGCACAAACTCAATGTGATTGTGGTGCTCTAAAAACAACTACACTTCAGTGCTGTCTGTATCTCCCCACCTAGGCAGGTACTGAGATGGCATCTCAAACTGGCTGTTTACTCAGCTGGTATCAGAAAAGTATCAACTTAAGGGAAATATAAGAGGCATGATTTCCTTTTTCAGTAATGGCTCAATGCATTCAGTTTTTAGTTTGCAAGACTTGTTGACTTCCACTTAGATGACGTTGCCACTGAGCAAGGGGCTGCTTTCCCCACTGGCCCGCCGGCCAAATGCCTGGCCAAGGAAGAGGCGTACAGCTGTGCGGTCAGGAAACCAGTTCCTTGGAGAAGCACCAGCAGACATCATGGCCCGTAGAGGGATGTGTCTCAAATGCCTGTAACCAAGGAAGACATTAGTAACAATCTTGAGCACACTGAAGTTTGAGAGCACCAAAAGCATCTCCATGTTCCTTACTCTGCTTGCTCTTTTGAATAAGAACTCGTTAACATTCTTTGTCTGGCAAAAGAGACGAGCTGTTCAACGGCCCTATGAGAGATAAAGACCTCCACTGGGTGGGCTCTGCAAAATGCCTGCCATAAATAAAATGACAAGAGTGAACTGCCCATTCAGCGTGGTTAGTTTATAAGAGGCATAGTGTACAAAAGGCCTAAGGAACAAGTTGCAAGATAATATAAGAAGCCCTGAAAAGAAAAGCCAATGAACCAACAGAAGACAGCCAATGAGAGCAATTAATGAAATTCTGGGGAGGAAGATTTGTTTGCAGAAGCATCACAGATCAAATTAACCCCTTTGCTATGTGTTTAGGCAAGATATCACACTTTTCAATTGCCCGCGTTACTCTGATTTTACCCTAGTAAAGCTGCTCCATCTCTGCTGTCATCTCCCTAAATGTCAGCATACATGTACATAATGGAGAACTTAATAGAAGGAAGAAGTCTGTACTTAGAGCAGAATGCATCTGTGGCATGCCTACTTCAAGGATTGTAACTACAGGGCAAACCTTTGCTTGCAATCTTGGAGAATCACTATCGGTCAACGTCCAGCCAGACACTCTTTTCTCTGTTCTGATGAAGTAACTTAACATGCTCCAAAGATTAATCACCTTGCTATTTCAGATCCATCCCAGATGCCATAAGGACTTGATTTTTGTGGGTGAGCAGCAAAAGCACAGATCCCCTTGCATCATCTCCTAGCCAAAGCAGAATATGAACATTAGGCTAAGATTTAACCCGCAGCTGTTGCGCTTGGTTGGGAAATGTCAGACTGTCCCATCTTCAGTCAGATGTTAGTAGCTACTGTAGCTCCTAAATTAGTATTATATATATATATATATTGTATTCACTCCTGGCTAATGTTGAACAACCAAAATATGAATGGGAGTAGACTCACCGATAGGTATAGATAGCGGCTCCCACGGCAGCAATAACCAGCAGCATTCCAACTACAAATGTAATTTGGGCTGAAGCTTGATTTCTTTCTGCTATAAGAGACAGAGGAATTCATATTTAGTGGTGTTTATAATAAGGATTGTGTGCTGTTCCTTTAGAAATATGGGCAAACCATTCCTTTAGAATAGACCTATATTTCTAATGGAAAAATAGACAAGCTTTATTGTAAACAACTCTACCTCAACTTTACTATACTTCACAAAGAGCAAAAAAGAGGAAGAAATTGGTTAGGTTGACACACGTGTAAAACCATCACACAATTTATTTGTTTTTAGCTTAGATGTATGTCAACATAGTCATTGTGGTTGTTAACTATGGCTTAGAAGATGTATAAATCCAGCCATTATATTTAGCCTCTGGTGGTCGGCATACTTGAAAGAGAGATTGCAATAAACTGCTGATAATATAAAAAGAAACAGAAGGAACGTTGTCCTACAGAAGACTTAGGTCACCATAGTATAGTGGGCCTTACTCTGGATGCTGACTTGGGTGCTGGCAACAGCTAAGGTGTTGGCATCAGCCAGTGAGATGTTGACGCAATAGAGGCCAGATTGGTTGAAGGCCTGGCGCAAAACAAACTGGCAGTCTGGGCTTGGCTGAACAGGGTTGCATATACTCTCTTGGACTATCACACAATCAGGATCTGAGATAGTTGTGCAGACTTCTTCAGGGAGGCTATAAGTGAAACAAGGCTATTAGTCCATCCATCAGAAAAAGGCCAGTTCCCTTCCCAAAATCATACATATGGACACTCCCCTTGGCAAGGTTTCCACATGATTGCTCTGCTATTCAAATATTGTTGTTCAAAAATATTTCCAAACACCCACCATTCTGAGGGGCTTGTTTCACAGCTCCAGTTGCTCAATATCCAATATCCCAGGGGTCTTCAAACTTGCCCTTTTATGACTTGTGGACTTCAACTCCCAGAATTCCTCAGCTAGCATGCCTGGCTGAGGAATTCTGGGAGTTGAAGTCCACAAGTCATAAAAGAGCCAAGTTTGAAGACCCCTGCAATATCCTTTCTTTTTGCTCCATGATCCCACATGCTTCAACTACTTTAAGAAAGTGGGATCTGATATCAGACTTATTATTTTTTTAAACCTATGAAACCTACCTTCCCTGGCATGTCACAGTAAGATCTACTGCATTCTCAGCAATAGCGGGCGTCAGCGGCATTACCTGCACAATTTCCACACTCTCGATGCCCTCTGCAATAAAAGAGAACACAGAAACGTTTATGCAGCATAGATGTCCCATATTTTCCCCCTCACTCTGTGAGTTATTCCTGTATAGTATGTGGAGGCCTTTTAAACCTGGCTTCTATACCCCAAAGTTAACTGGAAGAAAATGTTTAGTTTTTCAGGTAAAAAGGACATGGATACAATAGAAGAGACTATTGGTTAGCTCAGGGTTGAACTGTGGAGTCCATGGTGTTCTCTGAACTTGGTTATTTGCTTGCAGGTGTTTTATTACCCAGCAAAGTAACATCAGCAGTGCAAAAGCAAACAACCAAGCTCAGACAGCACCAAAGACACCATAAAATAGACATGCTTTCAGATATGGAAAACAGAATGTGAAATGGACAATTTAATTTTCAAAGGACATCTTGTATAACTTTTAGCCCCAGACATGTGATGTTAGTCTTACCTAATCTATCTTCTAATTGTGCTCTGACCACAATTCTCTGCTAGCTTGGAACTTTAAAAATACGTGGCAAAGTTTGGGTTGGGGAAGGCTGTCTTATGGCAATCACATTATTCTGTCATCTTCTAAAGGTAGATGGCTTTGCACGTAGTTTAGATCCATCCTCCTTGCCTAATGCTGCCCAACAGCCTCTGGCCTAACTGGTATGGGTGTTCAATGGTTCCTGTTACCCATCATTCCCTAGACTTACGGATGATGTCCAGATTAGTGGCAAAGGTTCCATAACGATAGAGGAGGCATCCAGTGGGTGCCTGACGTTTCACCAGAAGCTGGACCGCATCTCCTGCAACTGTTCCTGTGGCAGGCATAACTGAATCCACTGGATTGATGGCTGCTGTGTCTTCAGAGGTATCTATTGGGGAGAAAATGCTGGAAATATATTACGACATTCATGGATAAAGGCTCATTTTTATTCCCCCATAGCTTCAGATTGTCTCCATCTTAAAAATAGTACTTGCTGGAAGGGATAGCCATAAATTTAATGGACTGCCTCAGAAATTAAATAAACTAGTGCTTTCCAGATGTTTTGGGCCACAGCTTCTGATAGCCCTTCCCATTGGTTCTTGCCCAGGGCTGATGGCAATTGAAATTAAATATCTAGAAGCGACTAGGTTGCCTACTCCTGTTTAGGATAAGTAATAGGAATACAATAACTGATTAGAATAGGTAAGTGTTGCTAAGGCATAAGGTGGGTGGAATCATGAAATAGTTTTCTGTGCCTTTTGCCTATCTGTGTGTGTATTCATAATGTCACAGATAGATATGCAAGTGGTGGTCCTTGTGTTATGACAAGTTTTGCCATTCTGATGAAACATGATTCTTTCAAAGGTATTACAGTTTAAAGAAACTGAATGTGCAGTCCTAGCATTAGATGGGGACAAGTTGGGGAAGGCAATAATAGGACAGTCAAGAGAAGAAATACTACTGTGTCGTCAGCCCTTCAAAATAGTCCAGACTAGGAAAGTAAAGTCATGCAGGCTAATACTTCTTTTATTATAAAGTTAAAAGAAACAGAATGCTGGAAGTTTGAAAGTGCTTCTTCCCTCCCTCCCTTTAATCTTTGGGAGAACCTGGGAGAGTCTTGTTGAAATGCTTTCTCAGATTATAATTCTGGCCTGGACTCAATTTTCTTTTATCCGACCATTGTTTTGGTAGTGACTCTTCTTTTTGTTCCTCAAGGTCATTCCTTCTTCCCATTAAATATCTATGGAGATTTTCAGTCATCCAGGTCATAGTTATCCCAAAGATGCTTTTTCATTAAGCGACTTCCTTGTTTTTCTTTGAAGACGTTTCGCTTCTCATCCAAGAAGCTTCTTCAGCTCTGACTGGGTGGTGGGGAATGAAAGGATTTATATTCCTTGCAGACAGCTGTTCATTTGCATTCTTTTAGCAAGTCCTTAGTGCTACCTGGAGGCTTATCTGTGTCTTCAGGGTCACCTGAGTGGTGCAAATGGGTGTGGAGCCTTCTTGGAACTGTTGAAAGGACTGTTGAAAACTTCATGCCCTTCAAATGTTTCTGACTCCTAGTAGCTTTATCTAGCATGGCCAGCAAGCAAGAGATACTCCAAGCAGTATTTAGAGGGGCTCATCTCTGCTCTGGAATTGTCCTAAAATTACATTTTTAATCGACCAAAGGAAACTTTGTAGAGGCTTCATATGGTTTACCATTCACCCAATTGATTTAGATCATTTGCCCACCGTACTTTCCCTACAAACAGTTTTCCATTCTTGGCTTCTAAAACTTCCTACGATGAGCCACAACTGGGATTCTCTGGCCATTCTGTAACTCTTCCCTTCACATGCAGATAAAGATAGAAAGCACAGCCCAAAGTAGCAGACTATTCTCAGAAGCACAAGGAATCTCCTGCTAGGCCTATCTGCTGCCAGAGACACTGGCTGTGATTTAAAAAATGTTGAATACCTGAAAAGATAGTTGTAGATGCAATGGGGGACAAAACAGTTGGTTCCGCTGTTCCTGGGTCATTCTCAGGTACTATTGTAGATGAAGAACCTGGAGCCACAGACCCTGGTAGAGATTCAGTTGCTGCAGTAGATGCCAATGCCATGGTATTTGGGAGAGACGCAGACACGGCAATGGTTATAGCCTCAGTGTCTGCGCTATCTTCAGTTGCCTCGGATGATGCAACAACTGCAGGTTCCACAGAAGCAGCCGCTAAATCCGCTCCTTCAGGCCCAGCACTTACATTTGTGGCAGGAACTGTGGCTACAGACGTTGCCCCTTCAGTTACTGCTGACGATACAGTGGAAAGGACTGAAGTCGCAGAAGCTGGGACTAAAGATGCAAAATATGGGTGGAATAGAAGAAAGAGAGAATGAGAGATTACACAGGAAAGGTACTGAACTTAATTTCTATAGACAACCTACTAAAGATCCTACTAGAAAATCCAATTCTGCTGCTATAATTCATAACATGTTCCATTAAGGGCTGGCATGAATTTCTGCATTTTATAATTTTATATAAATCTTCCCTTTCACTTCACTTCACTTCTCTTCCCTTTTCCTTTTCCCCTTTCAGTTTAGCATAGGCTGGTTGTTGATGGAATAAGTTTGGCAATAGGATTGTTTCATGAACCTGGAATCACCTTTCCCAAATAGATGTTCTCAAGATCTGTCAGGCTTTGATTTATGCAGCCTCAAGGGAGTCCAATACAGGTAGGCTGCTAAGGAATATGTGTGCCACCCAGAATATGAAATATCAAGGATAGTTTTTGCCTGGGAAAATATATACTCCAGAAAAATCCAGAAGCAGTTTTGTGGATTCAAAATTTAAAACCAAAATATAGACCAGGGTGTCCAATCTTGGCAACCCTAAGACTTGTGGACTTCAACTAAATATGGCTGTCTGTGGAATTCTGGGAGTTGAAGTCCACAGGTCTTAAAGTTGCCAAGGTTGGATACCCCTCACATAAACACTTAAGGCCTTCTTGACATTCTTGTTATGAAAATGCTTGAATAGTGTTCTAGTGTGATCAAAGTGAGAAATTATCCAAATTTGGAAAAAATCTAGGAGCGGAATAAACTCTTTTTTACCTCAGGAAAATTTTGTATTTCCAGGTTTTCTTATTTACTTTAAGAAGCTTCTCTAAATCTCAGCTGCCCTTGGAAAGGATTCTAAGGAATCCCACCTCCACCCCATTTACCTATTGGTCCTTTTTATCCTGTTTGTTGTTAATGTGTATACTGTTAATGCCCAACTTTTTTTTTAACAATTTCAATCTTCTATGTTTTATTCTTCTGTTTAGGACATTATAACCTGCCCAGAGTCATTTGATAGTGAGATGGGCAGGTAAACAACAAACAAATAAGCAAGCAAACAAGCAAGCATCCCTCAACGTCTGCATCCTCCAGACTACAAGTTTACAACTACAATTCCTTATCACCCTCAACTCTCAAGATCACTAAAGTTGAAAGTGGTGGGAATTGTAGACTAATTCATTTCCAGGACAACTGATTGGGAAAGATTGTTGAGGATTCATTCAGCTACTGTGCATTCTTGTTGTGGACTCATCACCCAGTGTGAAATGAGAGTGAGAGAAAAAAGGTCCTTAATGGTTTTAAAGATTAGAAAAGATGGACAATTGTCTTTTAGGTAATCAGCTGAGGCCCCCTTTGCATCCTGTTTTTTTCTAGAAGAGGTTGGAAAACACTGTTCAATTTTCTACTGCTATAGTACAATGTTGTTCCACTTCCTCTTAAAAGCTCTTAATTATCAACACTTCTACCCTGGATATGAACATTCATTCTAGATACAAAATAAATTATGCCAACTCCTTACCTGTAATCCCTATTTATTTGAAAAGTACATGTAATCTTGATAGAGAACCTGAGTTTGAAATACAGTATCTGACAACAGATGGGATGCTGGCTAAAATCAGCTAAGCAGATGAATATTTACCAGAAGTCAGATCCTCTTCAGTGCTTGCCCCAGTAATGCTATTTATGGTGGAAAACACACTGGAAGCTTGAACAGTTGTTCCACTCAGAGTGGTGGTGGGCCTGAGGGTTGTGGGCATGACGAATGGGTCTTCTGAAGTACTGCCTCCACATGAGGCCACAGGAATGGCAGCCTGAACCACCACACGAGGGCTGAAGGTACCAGCAGAAAGGTAGGTGTGAGTGACCATGGTTTCCCGAGAAATCAGGGTCCCGCTTTGGTCACCAAAATCCCAGGAGTAGGAGATGTCAGCCTCATGGAGGTATTGACTAGGATCATGGAGCTGCACAGCAAAGGAGATGGCTCGGTTTCGCACAAAACGGTTATCTGTCCCATCGGTATCAAGAAGTTGTGCAATGTTCACTTGGAACGGGATCTGGTCTGTGAAAGGAAACAGAAAATCAACAAGCTTAATTTGTAGAGAATGAGTAGCTTGTGGGGTCCTTGGTGCTCTCCGAGCTTAGTTGTTTTCTTGCAGACATTTCATTCCCAAACAAGGTAACATCATTAGTGTGGAAGCTTTTCTGAAACAAATTTGCTCCATTCCTCTCAGGAATCCAATTTGGCTATTCCACAACTAACTGTCTTCTTATCAGTCCAGCAGCTTCTTTTTGTTAACCAAAAGATAGCTGGAATGAGTGTACAAGGCAACCTAGCCTTTCTAGCTTTTATTATGGGACCTTTGGATATCTTTTGGATGGCTAAGTGCAGAAGGCAGGAGATAATGTCACAAAATCCCCAGATTTATCAAGCACTGTCCCCAGCCGTGTCCACCATTAATGTTTACCTGTGATGCTGAACTGTGAGGAAGTACCACCAATAGGGATGAATTTCTCACGTCCCCGGTAATGATAGACTGCCACATTCATGGTATAGGAGCCCAAAGCTACATTAGCTGTTTCAATAGTCAATGAGGAGGTGGGACCACCTACCACTTGCCAGTATCGCCCTGTAGGAAGAAAAAGAATATGGGAGAAATGCCAGCGATGAAGATAGCAGGCCTATCATGCCACTTCCTAAGTTGAGAGGCAAACTGTCCTTCCTCCTGGTGCAATTTAGCTCAGAAGTGAATGCTTTCCAGATGTGGCTGCTCCCACAGTTCTCTGCAGGTCTGTTGGCCATCGTTTAATAGTAATAATAATAATAATGATGATGATGATGAAGTTGGAAGGGACCTTGGAGGTCATCTAGTCCAACCCCCTGTTCAGGCAGGAAACCCTACACCATTTCGGACAAATGGCTGTCCAGTCTCTTCTTAAAAACTTCCAGTGTTGGAGCATTTACTGCTTCTGGAGGCAGGTTGTTCCACTGATTAATTGTTCTCACTGTCAGGAAGTTTCTCCTTAGTTCTAGGTTGCTTCTCTCCTTGATTAGTTTCCACCCATTGCTTCTTGTCCTGCCTTCAGGTGCTTTGGAAAATAGCTTGATTCCCTCTTCTTTATGGCAGCCCCTGAGATATTGGAATACTGCTATCATGTCCCCCCTTGTCCTTCTCTTCGTTAAACTAGACCAGTGGTTCTCAACCTTTCTAATGCCGCGACCCCATAATACAGTTCCCCATATTGTGGTGACCTCCAACCACTTATACATCACCGGGTACCAGGGGCGTGGCCAAAGAAAAGGGGGAAAAAATGGCAGATAGCCTTGTTTGGTGACCCCCGTGAAATGGTCATTCGACCCTAAATGGGGTCCCGACCCACAGGTTGAGAACCACTGAACTAGACATACCCAATTCTAGCAACCGTTCCTTATATGTTTTAGCCTCCAGTCCCCTAATCATCTTTGTTGCTCTTCTCTGTACTCTTTCTAGAGTCTCAACATCTTTTTTACATCGCGGTGACCAAAACTGGATGCAGTATTCCAAGTGTGGCCTTACCAAGGCATTGTAGAGTGGTATTAATACTCCATGTGATCTTGATTCTATCTCTCTGTTAATGCAGCCTAGCACTGTGTTGGCCTTTTTGGCAGCTGCAGCACACTGCTGGCTCATATTTAGGTGATTGTCCACTAGGACTCCGAGGTCCCTGTTTTGTTTGAGAAGCCTGGGGAAGTTAGTTAAAGCTTGGTAATAATGGTAATAATGAGTCCCCTTTTCAGTTCAGGACTATGCAGGAATATAAGAACGTCAACAAATAAAATAGAAATGTAAAATAATAGAGTAAGATACTTAACAGTATAGATTAGGCAGCTTATTAAATATGGTTTCTAGCAGAGATCTTGTGTTTCCAAGTGCTGTATAAATAAGCAGTACTTTAGCAGGACATTATTTTTGTATTAGCCTCTAAAAGTTATATATCTACAGTATGTGTCTGTCAGTCTATCTATCTATCTATCTATCTATCTATCTATCCATCCATCCATCCATCCATCCATCCATCCATCCATCCATCCATCCATCCATCATCTTCATCTACAAGCTTTCCAGAAAAGAAACAATCTTAATCATACTAATTATGTAATAAAACTCGTATCTCAAAACTAAATCATGCAAATACAGATGGTCATTTAGTGACGGCAATTGATTCTGACAACTCGGTCATTAAGTGAAATTGTCACTAAGTGAATTTGTGTGTGTGTGTGTGTGTGTGTGTGTGTGTGTGTGTGTGTGAGAGAGAGAGAGAGAGAGAGAGAGAGAGAGAGAGAGAGAGAGAGAGAGAGAGAGATCCTGCAAAAGTCACTAGTTGCTGCTTCTCATTCAGATAAAATTCTCTTCTATAGCAACCTGTTTTTTTTCTTTTTTCTTTTGCCCTCTGACAGAGAGAGATGTTGCTTAAACAATCTATCTCTTCCTGACCTGCTTTTCTCCATATAATAGCACTTCCCTAAAAAGTGCTAACTGGAGATTAACAAGCTCATCTGTGACCTTAATTAAGTTGATTCCAACGCTCCAAGGCTGTTGCCTGAAACTGACAAGACCTTAATCAATTTCACATGCATTTTTATTACTGTTGTATTTGTGAATGGTCCTTATCTGAGGCAGTCACTAAACATGGCTACCTGTAATTTGGAAGTAATCTTCAAAGGGAGGTTATCTTTCTCTATATGCTTTTTTTTTAATGTAAAACACTATTTTTAAGTGTTCAGGAAAATTTTAAAGGAAATCATTTTCTACAGCAGCTCTATCTATTTATGTGCTGTCCAACACAACAAGGCATACCTTCACAGTTAAATCTGCCCAGTCCCAGTGAAGATTGTGCCACAACATGTGGATTTTTCTTTTATGTCAACTAAGAAAGGGCCTTTCCTGCTATGGAACGCTTTCTCCTTATCATGTGCCAGCTTTGTTTCAATTTTATGCATGTCCTGAAACATGTTCAGTCTCTATGGCATATGCCATTTCACAATGGTACTGTTTGAAGACTCAAGATGGTGGGTTCATACCTTTTATGTGCTTAAATATAAATCACTATTTTATTTTTCTTTCTAATTTGCCAACTTTTATATCTACTCATGTATTCTGTTGATGTTCCCCACCTGAATATCATTAGCATAACAAGCAGTATAAAAATATTTTAAAGAAATATAAATAAGCATTTATAATGAGTAACACACAAACCACCTTATGGTTTAGAACAATGTATGGATTCAGACACTGTATAGGTTGCTAGGCTGAAGTACAGGTCCTCAACTTACAACCGTTGGCTTAGTGACTGTTCAAAGTTACAAAACCACTGAAAAGTGTGGCCTAAGACAGTTTTTCACAAGACTGTTGCAACATCCTCATGGTCACATGATCAAAATTCAGATGCTTGGCAATTGACTCATATTTATCATAGCTGTGGTGTCCCAGGGTCATGTGATAGCTTTTTACGACTTTCTGAGAAGCAAAGTCAATGAGGAAACCAGATTTACTTAACGTGTTACTAACTTAACAGCCGCAATGACTCACTTAACAAATGTGGCAAGCAAGGTCATAAAATGGGGCAAAACTCACTTAACAACTGTCTTGCTTAGCAACAAAAACTTTGAGCTCAATTGTGGTCGTAAGTCAAGGATTACCTGTAATGAAAAAGAAAATGACTGAAAGGCACGGGATCCTCCCGCCAAGTGCCCAAGCAGCAACTTACCCCATGTCTGCCAGACAAAAACAAACTTGCCAGGCCGGCGATCGTTTGGGGAGAAGGGATGTCCATCAGGAAACACATAATCGGAAGTATCATCCTCCTGGTCTGGGAAAACAGGATCCCCTTTTCTCATACGGGTGCCTGCAAAGGAGAATGGGATGAAAAAATGAAGAAAGAAATGGTCAGCAAGACCTCAGTTGAAATCACAGCTTTCCTGCAGGAATATCCATGTTGGCGGTTTACCATTTATGATGCAGTTCTGGCTCCATACTACACGTCCATCTGGCAGCACAGTTTGATTCCTGGGAAAGTGCAAAGCAATCCTGAATGTGATTTTGGCACTTGTTAAAGTTGGGGCATCATTGCTGATATCAACTGTCACATTGCCACCTAGAAAGAATAAAAAAAAGTTGTCCAAAATTTCTGATCTTATGCCACCGCTGGCACTGCACTTCCATATCTCTGCTATTGAGGATAAAAGAAGGCACAGGATTGAAAAAAAGTGTGCCAGCAACAACTTAAAAAGAACAGAAGGACATTTCAATAGAAGAGAATATTTGTAGCTCAGGGATGAACTGTGGAGTCCTAGATGCTCTCTGAGCTTGGTTGTTGTTGTTTTTTTTTTTTTTTTGCAGATGTTGAATTACCCAACCAGGCAACATCATCAGTGCTGGAAGGAAGTGGGGTTTGCTCTCAAGGACCCCACAGAAGCAAATTTGGTAGGAAGAGGATAACTGCAGGAAAGACAGAGTGCATCTCAATAAGGAGACTGGGTGACCAAGTGACAGATTGCTTTCCAGATGCAAAGATGCTGTCTAAGAGTTCTTTATAGTTAAGTGGAACTTAGTCCAGGCAGAGGATGCTTCCCCACAGAGATGATCCTTTGACAGTCTTTCCGAAGAATGACTGCAAGTAGAGTCCATGGTCACCCTAACCACCAACACTGAGGCCTAGAAGCCTCAATTGATTGTTTCCCCTTCATGTCCAGGCCTACTTGCTTCAAACTTATCTCATACCTCGCCAGCAATTTCCCTGTCTGGGATCTCCTTCTCTCCATCGGGGGTAAAGGCTGGAGTTCCAAGTCTTGTAAGCAGAGTATCTCCAGCTCCCGTTTTGTCCCCATCTGTTGTTCCGGCCACTGAACCCTAGAAGAAAAAAAAATCTTCAGTCCTGGGGGCATTCACTGGGGGGGAAGGGTAGTGGTCAAAAAAGTCCAGAGGGCAGACACGTGTGTACTCCCCCCATGTGTAGCATATAGAAAAGGAGACAGCTTTAATTGCATAATTGCAATGGTCCTGTAGAAGAACAGGCAAAGCTGGGTGGGGAGGCGGTAGAGTTAAACAAGTCATCAGCCTAGAGTCATTATGTTCCCACAAACGGTCTAAGTCAGTGGTAGGGAACCTATGGCACGGGTGCCAGAGGCGGCACTCAGAGCCCTCTCTGTGGGCATGCGCACCGTCGCCCCAGTCCTAGGCCTTCAGCTGGGTTTTATAAAACCTTTTCGCTTTAGGCCTCCACCGCCATGTGCAAAAAAAAAAAAAAAAAGTTCAATCAATCAGTCAATTTCAACTTCTCGCGGAAAAAAAAAGATCTTACAAAGTTGGAATTGATTGAACTTTTTAGTCCCACCCAGTCTGCCATTACCACCGCAGCCATGCCCAGCCAATGGGCCATACCTAGCTAATGGGCCACCCTACCTGACACCCGACGATGCATAAGTGGGTTTTGGGTTGCAGTTGGGCACTCGGTCTCTAAAAGGTTCGCCATCACTGATCTAAGTCCAATCCTTCTTGAATTCCGTTGAACTTTTTTCTGGTGCCAATTTAGTACTGAACTTTTAACTAAATTCTTGTGTATAGGCTTAAGCAATAAATCTTCTGAACTGCAACGTAACACATGGTCCTGATTCTTTGTACCCGACATATCCTCTTCAATTTTTTTTTTTTGACAGCCCTCCTTTCCCAGAAATACTCCTGCTTTAGTCTTTTTACCATCTCATAGTTTCTAATATATCAGAGATAAAGTTAGGCCCATGGTATCTCTAAAAATCACCCCCAGTCACTTTTATCTTTTATTGCTGGATGTATAGCAACCATATGTTACCTTAATTCTGCCAAAACCTGCTTCTGAATAAATAAATGAACTTGTATGTTTAAATAAGTGGATTATAGCTGTACAAAACATATTTTACAGACTGATTAAAGGCAATTCTAAGTTGGATGGACAGCGAAGGGATGTTCTGATGTTTTCTGCACATTGATTAAATCCTTTCTGGCATCTTGACATCTCCACCCCTATGTGTCATGCTGAGCCTGTTCAGATGTGAAAGTATTTGGATAGGCTGAGTTCTCCCCAAACCGGGCAAAGTCTTCTCTGGAAAGCTACACTCTGGATTTTAGGAACTATGCAAGACACATCAGACCAATCTTCAGTGGTAATATTTGTCAGGTTATTTTACTGTTTTCCATATTTTTTACTTAAAGAAGAAAAGTGACATAAAATAGCACCACGAAGTAACACAATAGGACCAAGGGTCTCATCTTGAACAGTGGTATAGAGGGGTTATGGAGCTAGCTGAGGTAGTGAAATTGATTATTTACTCAGAGACAATAAATTAAATTTCATGCAACCTGGAGGCTTTGATAAATTTCTTATAGGATAAAGAGAAAAGTCAGCTTTTGACTTGGGATTCTTACAATGAGAATGGACTTGACTAAATATTGCAGCTTTTTAAATATAAGGTTATTTATATTTGATAACTTACTATCTTTTAGATCAGCGGTTCTCAACCTGTGGGTTGGGACCTCATTTGGGGTCGAACGACCATTTCACAGGGGTCACCAAACAACGCAGTCCATCATTTTTTCCCCCTTTTCCTTAGCTGTGCTACTCCCTTTTATTCTATTGGCTTTTGAAAGCCAATAGAATAGACTCTCTTGAATAGAGTCTAATTCTATTGGCTTTTAAAAGCCAATAGGAATTGTCCAGGCTGTCTCTGCCCTGCTGAGCCCGCCAAAAGTCCCATTCTGCAAACGGTGCTGCAAGTTGTCTGCAGTGAAGGCGAGCTGTCTGGAAGTTTCCACCCCTCCCTGCTCAGCAACTACTAAAAATGTAAGTAAAAGAGGGCCAGGAGTGGGAGGTGGGAGGCCGGCGGGCGCAGGGAGGGTTGCTGGGCGCGTGGGGCCCGGGGGCGCTTTACTTCCCTTGGGCTGGGCCAGCTGGTAGCCCAGCCAGTGGTCGGCCTGCGCCATCTCTGCCGCTTGCCAGCTACGCCTCAGCTGGCGCAGGGGGCGGCACCACGCATGTGTGGCACTCCCGGGCAGGGAAAGTCCTCGACTTACAACCGGTTGGGTAGTCCTCGACTTACGACTGGTTGGGTAATCTTCGACTTACGGCCGATTGGGGGTCGCGGCATTAAAAAGGTTGAGAACCACTGTTTTAGATGAAGTTAAAGAGATGAACATTTAATGACTACTGGCTTTTAGTATGTAGATTATGAGTATAATATATGGGGTTTTTTTCTTTAAACTTAGAGAGGTGGTTGTATTGTTAATACCTCTGTACTAAAAGAAAGTTGGAGGTCACTTTTGTTATATTAGTTTGAAGTACTTTTTTGTCATTTTATTTTTTTATCATTCCCATTCCCTTTTATGTTAGTTTGTATTTTAATGTATAATGTTAAAACTTAATAAAGATATTATTAAAAAAAATAACACCATCACAGAAGGAATGATTGCAGCAAAGGTAGCACAGGCAAACCTTCAGAAGTTCAGAACTAGGAAGTTATAGTTGGTCTTTGAATAGTTTGGCCCAGGAATGTCGTCCAGTGGGCCATAACAACAATATTTAACTGATATTAATTTTAATACATTTAAATCTTCTAAATGTAAATAGATTCCTTCTGTAACTCTGAGAGTGAGATGGGTGATACTAGAATTTGATAAATAAATAAAAAATAACAATACATATTATAATTTGAAGGCAATTTTCAGAAGTCTTCTGGAGCAGCAGCCAAGGCTTGAGAGCTGTATAGTGCCACACCCATATCACCTAAAGGAAGCTGGTCTTGCCCCTGTGGTTATATGAATCAGCCTCTAGTGGAAGGAGGAAGGGGGACAGAGGTGGGGTTAGGCAAGCTTTAGACCTGTAGTGGCTAACCTTCCTTATTACACAGTGGCTACACAGGCCTGCCTCAGCTGAGAGTCACATGAAAGAGCTTGAATAGAGGCCGCCAAGACCCATGTGATATGAGCCCCCCAGCACTGGGGTGGGCTGATCTGTCACATGCTGTCTGCACCTACAGCAGAATAAAAGAAAGTCTTGAGTGCTTAGCCACATCACTGGTAGTGGAGAGAGATAGCCTAGGGAAGGGTGTTCCAAGCTACTTGTGGGAAGCAGAGGAAGTACATAGGAAAATGTGAATGAGAAAAGAAAAAACAGCATTTGCTAAACGTGAGAAGATAGGTTGGTTTTCCAGGATTTTACCATTAGTTACACAGGCCGCTCCAAGACACTTCTCTTTAAAAACAAAACAAGACGCCCACTTTTCTTTCAGATCTCCCGAGTCAAGGTAAAAAGAGAAGCAATGGAGAGAACACGCTGCAAAAACAATCCCAGATTAAATGAAAGGCTGCCTTACACCTAGTCAGCCATTTCATTCCGCACTGTCTACACTGATCTTCCCTACCTGCTGAGAAGGACTGTACTTCAGTTCTGGCTGGGAATTATTGGGGTTGAGGCCTATCAGATCTGGAAAATATCAGGTTGGGGAAGGTAGATTCTCCCCAGCATTGTGAAGAATTTTTGCCCATCTCTCTGAAGATGTTTCAGCAGTTACCAGCATCTGTTTGACTTTCTTCAGCCTTGAGAAATAGCCAAGGTTGTACCCAAGTAGTACTTGGATGCAAGATCACCAAGAAACGGTAATTTTTAGGGCTAAAAATTAGGTTTGAAAGACAAAAAAAAAAAAAACCTTGAGGACAGCAACAGTAAGCCACTTAGAAAATTAAAAACCTTTACCCTTTACTTGGGGATATCCTGGGATGACCTGCATTTGGGATTTTCTGCATTTAAAATAGATGTTATAATACAAAATAGTGGCCCTTTTCCTCCTCCTCCTCCTCAGTCATGTCCGCTAACCACTAGCTTCTGCCAATTCTTAGTGAAGTTGCTATGAAAGATTCATGTCTGGAAACTTCCCTGAGGAAAGAAAGAACTCACAAAGAACAAAGGATACACCAACTACAACCAGTAGCTGGACGTTAAAAGGCTATTAAGATTTGAAATGGAAGGTCCTCCCACACACCCACTAATCGGGGTGACTAAGAATTGGATCTGACTGAACAGGGTGAGACTTTCCACTATTAGTCTTTAGCAAATTAGGCACACACATTCCATATCCCAAACCGCAAACACCAGCAAGAGGATTAGTGAGTCTTGTCTGCCTAGAGAAAAATCCAGATCACCACGAGGTTTGGCTTTGCAAGAGTTGTGTGTGTGTGTGTGTGTGTGTGCATGAATGAGTAGTAACATAATAATTAAATTAAACCAAAGCTCCAAAGGCAGCTTTAGACTGGCAAAGAAGCATCATTATTTTTCTCACACCGTAATGAGCTGAATAGAGGTGAATTACTCCCCAAAAACATTTTATAAGAATTCTGAATATTCTAGAACTGATCCAAAATTTATAACTAGAGCAAATTAGTCTTTCTTTTGATGCCAATAGCTTCTCCCCTTCGAGCTTGCCCTCTAAATTAAACCTGTTTTCTAAGTTAGATCTATGTCCCAAGAAATCAATTTGAATTCTCCATTCACTGTCACTCACTGCATGTGTCGTATTTGCTCACTGTTCCTTCTGCAAAATCTACCACTGCCATTCATACATTAGCACCTATGAAAGGAATCAAATCTAGTTTGGTCTGTAGATGCACAGGCATTGTGTGTGCATGCAACATATGTTATATAAAAGAAATCATATTTCTTCTTTAATTTAATATCCTATACAATCATATTTTTCTGAGAATATTTTTGGTTAAAAAGGAAAGTTTGAAAAACAACGGACATCTGCGTGCAAAAATGTTTTAAGGCATCTATGCATAATAAGAGAGGTTCTTTATTCAATAATGTGCCTATATGCCTCAACATTATTATTTATAACAGTTGAAGGCTTAACTCTACTGTAAGGATTTGTGTTCCTTTGATTCCTGTGCTAAGATACCTGAACTTACCTTGTAATGCTGATAACAATACAGTAAAGAAACAGCTGTTAAGTCTCTTGAGCTGTGAATATTTCTGAACAGCAAGTCCAACATAGAGAATATTAAGATCATACCTTGTGCATAGGTGAAATTAATAGAGGCTACCTGACAGCAGAGCTAGGTATAGCTCAGTCTGACATTTGGAAATATACTGACGCACAAGATTATAATTTACGGTGGGGCAAACTTCTGTGGGTGAAATAAACCTGATCTCTAGGAGAAAATGGGGTTCCACTTACTGCGCTGAGCTGTGGTAGTAGCCAGGAGAGCCCAAATAGCAGCCCATAGGAACCAGGTCCGTGACATTTTCAGATCTTGAGTTCTTTGTAGTCTCTTGAACAGTTGATGGCAAAAGAAGGCAAGGAAGACCCTCCTGCTCTTAAAAAGGGAGCTCATTTGCATATACCCACCTCTCTTTGGAGCATGAAGACATTGCTTTCTTTCCAGCACTGGGCTTTCCCCCTCCTCTTTCTAATAAGTGAGATGGGGGAAGGGGAGAACATTGGCTGTGTGATCCGGTCACAAGTTTGCATTGTGGCCAACACAAGGAGGCCCCCTTTTTTAATCCCATAGCTGGAATGCCAGGGTAGGGGATGGGCGATGCTTGAACACTGAGGTGCTTCACAGCAGAGGAGGAAGTTGGAAGAGATAACAAGAAAGAGCCAAATGACTAGTTATTCAACTTCATTAAAGGGCCTCATAAGGGAGAGATTACAGGGCACAACACCCCCCCCCCCACAGGTCTTGGTTACTTCTCTGGACCTTTTCCAGGTTCAGATGTAAGACAATGGAGCTTAAGCAAAGTATATCAAGCAGCTAAAAAACTCAGAGAAGTAACTGATGGAAAAGGAAAGGCTTCCAGTTAAGCCCTTCAAGTTGAACTCGATTCTTTAGCAACATTACAGATGTGTCTGTCCAGGAATTATTGATAACAATAAAGAAGTGATTTGCTATTGGCTCCTTCCAGGATACTTAAAAAAAACCCTTCCTAATCTAGCTTAATGCCGTGCAATTTCCCAAGACACTCCAGTCCAACTATAACTCAGGTCTGACCCTTGTTAACATTTTAGGGTTAGCAAACATCAGTTAGATCAGTGGTGGCGAACCTATGGCACGCGTGCCAGAGGTGGCACTCAGAGCCCTCTCTGTGGGCATGTGCGCCGCCATTGCCAGCAGCTTGCACAGGTCCATTAGGCCGCCGCTGCCTGGAGCAGCAGCCCCACCCAGCATAAAGGAGGCAAAGCGGCCAGCTACCAAGCGCCCACACCCAGCAAGTCAAAGGCCACCCTGAGCAAAGAAAGCTGGATCCCCATTGGCGCCATAGCCCCCCAGTTTCAGCTAGGATTACGTGCCTCCCCCCATCTATGCTGGACCTCCTGCCCACCACCCCACCTGCCAGAGACCCCCTGGATCTCCCCGAACCCTGCCCCACAGGCGTCCCCCCCATGAGCAACATCGAGGTGGCCATGCCCACCCCAGCTACGCCCACCCAGTCTGCCGTACCAACCACAGCCATGCCCACCCAGTGGGCCACACCCACCCAGTGGGCCATGCCCCCATGCCCCCCCCGAGGGCACCACAATGCTGATGCGGCCCTGGCACTTTGCGATAAATAAGTGGGTTTTGGGTTGTGATTTGGGCACTCAGTCTCTAAAAGATTCGCCATCACTGAGCTAGATAGTGCCACACTGCTGGATTTTCATCAGTCTAAGAAATCAAGGACTTGTGGCTATTTCAAGGCTCATAAGAATATGATGGTGAGCTAGGGCTGACTGAAGACATCTAGGTAACTACGTAGAGACGATGGTTGTGCAGAATAAAAGACCAGTGGATAGATTAACTGTTCAAATTTTTTCGAAAGAGTGTTTGGGAGATCTCCCATGACAGAGGTTGCCCAATCTTTTGGGCACCAGGGACCAGTTCTGTGGAGAGAGGTTTTTCTGCGGACCACAGAGTGTATGGTTTTGTGTGCTGCCTGCATCCCACGGATGGGGCTTTGCTAGTTTATGTGGACCAGGTGCTGGCATGCCATAGCCCACTACTGGTCCATGGACCAGGGGTTGGGGACCCTGTCCATGAACTCCTCACAAGGACAACACATAGTAGTCTCTCATGGGTTTAAGTGCCAAGAGCCAAGGGTATGACAACTTTGCTCTCAGCAGCAGTGGAGGCTTTCATAAGGATATCAAGCCAGTCAAGCTCACTTGTTAATCACTTTTGGAAATGTTCAATTTAACCACTTTATAAATATTAGACATCTTCAAAATGGCGAGCTTAATTTGATACCCAGTGAGTTTTATTTTCTTCAGATTTAAAAAATTTTAAAGAGAGACTCAAAAATGTAAATAATATAAAACTGGCAAAAAAAGCAGGAAAAAAAGGATTTTTGTTTAAGAAAATTTTAATTGGATTAGGAAACCAGAGAGATTTGGAATATCAGTTATTTTTGTTGTATAATTTTAAAAAAGTATGTAATTAAATAGCACACTTGTGGGAAATGACTAAAACAGAACCAAATCCGTATTAGGAATTGAGGCTTGATGAAGTTTGCAAATGGTCATTAGACACAAGCAAAGGACCAGGCAAAAAAAGTATTAAAATGGATAAACTGGCTATAATTTTTTCTTAAAGTTTTTTTTTTTTTTGCATGGGCTAAAATGTTAATAGTTAATATCGCAGAAAGGATACAGATTTCAATGGTAAACTTTTAGAAGATGAGAAAGATTTAAGAAAAACTTTACTTGACATAGCCATTATAGTGTTTAAAGTTATGGAATTTATCAAACTAGGAATACAAAAGATAAATTAAAAGAAGGATCTGGAAAAGAAACAGCTGCTACAAGAAATCCTGGATGATGCTTCTTTATGAGATTTACAAAGTAGACTGGTGAAAGGTTTGAAGACTTCTTTTAAATACCAAAGAGAGATGAAAGATCAAAACTTCCAATGCTATAGGAAGGATTTAGAGATTGTGCAGAGCAAAAAGAAGAAATATAAAGTTGATAACAGTTTAACAGAGAGTTTTGAACCTTACTCTTGTTTTTTTTTTATTATCTTTCTTCCTGCAAATAGATCTACTAGTTTTAAAAAAATGGGGGGGCTGTTTTGCAATGGGTGGGAATTAATATTAATCAATATTCAATTAGGGGGATAACAGGTGTTTATATGTTGTTTTCTTAATGCACTTTTTCAAAATATCTTAAATATTTTGTGATTTGTGTTTTCTTTTTGTTCCTTTTGTTGTTGATTTTTGGACTTTTTGGAGTTTTGTACTTTAACTTACTTTTTCAATAAAAAAAATTCTATTAAAAAAGAATAAATATAAAGTTGGACTATTTGATCAAGGATAAACTGTTTGATATTTCTGGTAATTCCTAATGGACTTTTTTGCTAAAACTGGATTGAAAAGACAATTTCTAGGTTGCATATATGGTAGATAAGAGATAAACTATGAGAATTTTTTTTATTATAACATTATACAGAGTGAAAACTTAACACATCAGCTTGTGTTTGGTGTAATGAAACTTTATTAATCTTCAGCCATTCACACTATCTGCCAATCTCACCTGCCTCTTAAGCTTATTTGTGAAAGCAAGTATGATACGTCCAGGTTCACTATCTTTGGAAATATACAGGTGTATATACTTAACATGACTCTGGGACACTGCAACCATCAGAAATACATGCCAGTTGGTAAGCGTCTAAATTTTAATTATGTGACAACATGGATGCTGCAACGGTTGTAAATGTGAGACATGTTCATAAGTCACTTTTTCAGCATTGAACAAAAGGTTGTCGAGTAACTGAATAGTCTATGAAATATTACAGAAGTCCCTTTGTGTTGGCATTGTTACATATAGTGTAAGCGTGTGTACATGCATGCCAAAGATCCTAGAATCACAATCCATGCAAGATTTTGACATTCTCATCCCTAATCTTGCAATATTTTAAGACTAACCACATGAGATACGGTAGCGTTGGCAAACCTTTTAGAGACAGAGTGGCCAAACTGCAACTCAAAACCCACTTATGCATCATCGGGTGCCGGGTGAGTGTGGCCATTGGGTGGGCGTGGCTACAGTGGTAATGGCAGACTGGGTGGGATTAAAAAGCTCAATCAATCAATTCCAACTTTGCAAGATCTTTTTTTTTCCGTGAGAAGTTGAAATTGACTGATTGATTGAAACTTTTTTTTTTTTTTTTGCACACGGCGATGGAAGCCTAAAGCAAAATGGTTTTATAAAACCCAGCTGAAGGCCTAGGACGGGGCAATGGCATGCGTGCCCACAGAGAGGGCTCTGAGTGCCACCTCTGGCACCCGTGCCATAGGTTCACCACCACTGAGATATGGTGAAGATTTCAGCTATATTTAATTATTAAAAATTAATACCTATTTCATGTTCAGGTTGAATAGAGGTCATCTGAGTGGGGTCACATATGCCCACAACCATTTATATAGTGAGTCTTCGAATTGCGCCATCACCGCCTAGTGAGAACGTTGTGCAAACACAAGCCCCATGCTCAGCTGGTTTTCTCCTTTGCGTTAGTATGTACTCAGATTCTTTTTCCGGGGATTTTTAAAACCGACTTGAATCCGAATTAATCTGAAGCTCGGATCCCTGCTGTCGTCCATACGCTCTACTACATTCGATCGGCCTTTTCCCAAGTGCCGTATCCGTACTTGGGCCCTTACAACCAAAACTCTCCTTCTCGAAAATGACGGCGCTGGCCCTTTAAGAAAAACTTCACCTCTTCTCTTTCTCTCCCGCCACACAACGAGCTTCGCTATAACCCCGCAGCCAATAGGGTAGCAGGAAAGGCGGGGCGAATGGAACGCGGGAAGCCGGAGGAAAGGAGGAGGGGAGCTGGAATCGTTAGTATTGTTTGAAGTTCAGCGTTGCGCGCGGGAAAAGAAGAGCGAAGGCAGAAAAAGCCGCGGTCACTCAACTGCCGAGCAGAAACACACCACGGTCGATCGGCGTCGTGCGAGTTCGTGGCCATTCGAGTCCCTCCCAACCGCAGCCACTGCCGGGCGGCTCCGGGACCGGGCTCTTGCGGACCACCGCCTCTCCTTCCTGCTCTGTGCCGGCGAGTACTTTAGGGGCAAACTGGGATCCTTCCCATCCCGCGTCTCCTCCGATGGAGAACTTCCAGAAAGTGGAGAAGATCGGGGAAGGCACCTACGGCGTGGTCTATAAAGCAAAGAACAAAGTCACCGGCGAGGTGGTCGCGCTTAAAAAAATCCGCTTGGACACGTGAGTGAAAGACCTTTTCTCTCCATCTAACACCCTGCTTTCACACGCACACCCAAATACATGCGACGGGAAGAGGGATCGAATCTCCGCTTAAAGAAGGAGAAAGCGCAGCCCGAGCCTCCCTTTGCTTTTGGAAGGAAGTCTAGCTTTGGAGCGGTGGTCGAGGAGCAAAGGGTGTGGGAGAAAAAATGGGAGACTCGTAATCTGGCGGCTCGGCTCCTCCTCCTCCTTCGCCATTAAGGATGCCTTTAGAGTGAAGGCTTGGTTCAGAGGAGGGAGGTTATGATTTTCTGTGTTCTTGATCCGCGTCCAAATGTTTCAGAAAGTTATGAAGACGACAGACGAGAGGAGACGCGCACCCTCGTCGTCTCCGCGGCTCCTCTTTATCTTGCTTTCTTAATAAGGTGCTAATTTTACCTGCCTGCAAACAGCCCAGAGCAGAGCACGAGCTCTTTTGCCACGTAGGTACCTGGCGAAATGCAGATAGTATGCAGGATGAAGCCCCTGGGCTGGGAGAGCTTTCCAGAAGAGGGGCAATGGATTGGAATCGCTAGGCAGCTGGCTTTACAAGTTCTTGCTTTGGAATTATTATTTCATCACATGGTCGGTTGAGATTGGAGCAAAGATGAATCTAAAAATTGTTCTTCCATGTTTTGAGTTAAAAGTATGCTGCTTATGTGACCGAAACCTTAAAATGTCCTTTGCTATGAAAAGTAGTGCAAATAAACGTTCCTTCTGTGTGCTGTAGAATACCCAGCTAACATCCTGGATTCGGTTAATAATACTAAGTCTTGAATAAGCCCTTTCCCCTTTGTTTTCTTTGGGCCTGATAAAACCATGGCTTCATTTATATCTCCCCTTTTTTATCCACTAGAAGCTGATGGTGGTATACATACATACATCTTAATTTTCTTCCTTCCCCTTAATGTTTTCCTCATAGTAATCCTGTGGGCAAGAGGAAATGATTTGGGGAATATTTATATTCTGGAGTTTCCCAAATCTTGTCCCTGTAAAGCTGAGAATTAGATTAGAAGGCCAGTTTGATATGAGATCAGTCAAACGAGCCAAAAGTGCATACAGTGTCCCAGCAGATCCTATTTAATCTGCATTACTAATTATTATTCCACTTGCATTGAGTAATCATCTATTATGCACTATCTTTTTCATTTACAATTCTAGGGCTTAGTTTTCAATCTTAGCATCTCAAGCAGTCAATTTACTTGGCTAAATTCATTCTAGTTTCATCTCCTCCCTTCTTAATTTGATGTTTCTCTTTGCTTTCAGGGAGACAGAAGGAGTTCCCAGTACTGCCATCCGAGAGATTTCTCTCTTAAAGGAATTGAACCATCCCAACATAGTCAAGTAAGTATGTGGAAGACAGAAGGAGATGATCTGGAGAGTAATAAATAGAATGTTATTTTTGGGTCTTCAGGCCATTTACCAGCCACCATAATTTTTATACAATTATAGTGGTTGGTAAACAGTGGCCACTGTTCACTTTTTTAGTTAAGTTGGGAGCAGGCATTTTTATGGGCCAGTATCTGACAGCAACTGATCTGGGAAAACTTGCTTCAAATAAGGTTTTACAGTAAAAGTTACACGCTTCCTTGTTCCTTATTTTATTTCTGCTAAATTCAGAAACATGGGCAATTTGAATATAATTTGTAACCGTCTGGCATTGAACTTGTAAAAAAATATTTGTGGTTTTCTTATCAATATCCAAATGTTATTGTTTGTCTTTTACTTCCTATCCCTTCCTTGACTCCCCAGATTGTTGGATGTAATCCATACTGAAAACAAACTCTATTTGGTCTTTGAGTTCTTACATCAAGATCTAAAGAAATTCATGGATTCTTCTACTTCTATCAGTGGTGTAGAGTTACCTCTTATCAAGGTAAGCCAGGCAGAGCATGTAAGGAAAAAAAAAAAGCAACTTAGTTCTGGGTTTATAGGCACACTAGGTACATTTCTTTTTACTTGACAAAAAAAAAAAAAAAACAACTGCAAAAGTGCTGCAAGCCAAGGATTTTGAGGGGAGCTTTGTGTCTTCGGTGGACATGCACTTAAATGTAGACAGTCATACAGAGCTTCTTAATGAACAATGTGTGCAGTAAGACTGTCTTTGCTCTTAAATACTCTTGACTTAACTAAAATCTTATATAGACCCAAATGAAATTATACAGCTCTGCTAAATGTTCAAGGTGTTTCCCAAATGGGAGTTAGAAGCAGCAGTATAGCCTATTCTGGCTTGTACTTAGGGCAGACTGTGGCTTTATAGACTGAAAAATCTAAGAGATATTTCCTTCATAAAGTGGCATACAAAATGTTGAATTAGACATGCCCCCCAGGTCTTTTGGATATGATCAAGGTCAAACCCAGTTCATCTCTTTGCCTAATCTCATCACATCCAAAGTGATGCTCTCTGTCAAAGACAAAGCCCCCCTTGCAATCTCTTATCAAACCAAAGGGAAAAAAAGCCTCCTCATCAGATAAAGGCAACAAAACTGTCAACATCCATCCATCAGCTGATGGCCTCAGTATTCCATCTCTTTACCAATGGACCTTCTCAGCTATGCTGCCCTCCTCAGTGGTCCATTTTGCTTAACAATAGAACTGACCCCAGGTGTGCTGATAAGGACTTGCTTAGCTTCCCCACTGGCCAGCCAATCAGGTCTCAAGGAAAGCTTTACAGCCTTCAACTTATAAAAGTTGCTTTTCTATTGTTTGCAGTCCCTCTTATAACACAAGAACTCAAGGATCCTTTCAGTAAATAAGTTCTTTTCAATATTGTGATCTTTCAGGCCGAATCCATAAACCATAGCATATTGGTTTTTCTTTCATTCCATTTGTTAATTTATATTCTGTCATTTAGCCCTCTTACGTTCGTTCCAAATTGCAGCCCTCTCTATAGCACAGAGAAAGGTTTTTTCATGGCCTGGAGAGTGTGTGGTTTTGTGTGCTGCCTGCATTCTACAGATGCGGCTTTGCTTGTTTGTGTGGACCGGTTGCTGGCATGCCGTGGACCAGTACCGGGGCTAGGGTTAGGGTTCAAAGTTACATCAGCACTGAAAAAAGTGACTTATGACCATTTTTCAACTTGAAATTCTTGCAGCATCCCCATGGTCACATGATTTACATTCGGATGCTTGACAACTGGTTCATATTTATGACAATTACAGTGTCCCAGAGTCATGTGATCACCTTTTGAGACCTTCTGACAAGCAAAGTTAATGGGGAAGCCAGATTCACATAACAGCCAGATTACTGATTTAATAACTGCCGAGATTCACTTAATAAATGTGGCAAAAAAATTGTAACATAGGGCAAAACTCACTTAACAAATTCTTCATTTAACAACAAATTTTGCGCTCAATTGTCATAAGTTGAGGACCATCTGTACTGACTTAAGGGCTCATCATAGCTTTGATCAATAAAGGTTTTCAAATAATACTATTTAGTAGAGAGGGGGTAGATTAGATTCCAGACAGAATCATCATAATAATGTTACATGCAACATTCTCTGCTATTGGTAAGGACTGTACTGGTTAGTTTTGGCCAATAGGCCCCAAGCACAACCAAAACCTAATTTTATTCTAAGCAGGTTTATGTTTTTCCTAGAGCTATCTGTTCCAGCTGCTGCAGGGTCTTGCCTTTTGCCATTCCCATCGTGTCCTCCACCGAGATCTTAAACCGCAGAACCTCCTCATCAATGCAGAGGGAGCAATAAAACTTGCTGACTTTGGGCTAGCACGGGCATTTGGCGTGCCTGTGAGAACCTACACGCATGAGGTGAGCAATTTGTTTTTCTCCCACTTTGGCATTCTCTGTACTACACATAATCCTTGACTTAAATTGGGACTGGAATTTCCATCACAGCAATGTGGTTGTAAAGCTCGGGGAAGGCACACAGGAATGCGCAGGTTTGGGAGGGTGTGCAAAGGAGATATAGCAGTGGTGGCGAACCTATGGCACGGGTGCCAGAGGCAGCACTCAGAGCCCTCTCTGTGGGCACGCACGCCGTCGCCCCAGTCCTAGGCCTTTTCACTTTAGGCCTCCGCCGCCATGTGCAAAAAAAAAAAAAGGTTCAATCAGTCAATTTCAACTTCTCACGGAAAAAAAAAGATCTTGCAAAGTTGGAATTGATTGAACTTTTTAGTCCCACCCAGTCTGCTGTTACCACCGCAGCCACGCCCAGCCAATAGGCCACACCCAGCCAATGGGCCACACCCACCCGGCACCCGACAATGCATAAGTGGGTTTGGGGTTGCAGTTTGGGCACTTGGTCTCTAAAAGGTTCGCCATCACTGAGATATAGCAAGGCCCAGGTGATGTATGAATAGCCATTGCAAGGCGGGGGGGGGGGGGAGAGATGCTTATCCCAGCAACTTGCAACATTTTTTATCAGTTTCCCCATTGCCCAGATTGTGATTACTTGATTGCAAGGGTGTACCCATTGCTACTATAATTGAGTCCATTGACCTTGCTGTTTCTTTTTCCTTCCCTCCTTCCTGGGCTTCTTCTGAGGGTTCAGTCTTCTAATATGTCCAGAATATAATATGAACCTGATCAATTTGTGTCTTGAATGAAAAATTTAGATTGATTTGTTTTGTAATCTATTTTTTTCTTGGCTTTCACTCTATGTGCATACATATAAATATGTGTAGACTCATGAATGATGAATAACATTAGGGAAACAGTTTCTTTAATAATCACACTGCTCATGCATGTGGCCCAAATTTATTTTTCAGATTTCACACAAACTTATTTGTTTTCCAGCTGAAAGTACTCTTTTCAAAGAGGTTTATGTTGAAATGCGATTGCTGTATTACTTTCTCAAGAGTACAGTTTGTATTACGTATTTTTGTTGGCTACGGCTCATTTCCATGCTCTGTTCAAAATATTGATTAAAATTATTATTTTAATTGAAACATAAAGCCTAAATGATTAAGTTTGGAATATTTTACTAATATTTTTGCTTGTCAGCACTGAGATCTTGCATTTTCTAGGCCGCCTAGATGTCATAGCCAGATAGCCCTTGCATCCATTTTATTGGACAATGACCGAAATAAAAATACGATTGTAGCAGTTGGGGAGCTCATAGTAAAGATTATTTGGATCAATGTGCCCTCATAAGAAGCACTACCTGGCTACCTGGACTTGTTTTTTGATATATGGTAAAACCTGTTATTCTAAAGATACTTGGCTCTCTTACACAGCTAACCATTGATAATACTCTTATTCTATTCTAAAATTTAATCTGGAGATTAAAAGTTTGGACTTAACCGAACCAAACTTAAATGAAAGTTGTGTCAACAATGATTAAATGAACTTAATTTCTAGAGAAGGGGAGAGGAAAAACTATTTCAGAAATCATTTCTGAGTTTGGCCATCCCAGGGCTAACCTGGGAAATGATGCCGAGGATATTCCTGTGACCATAAAGTAAACTCATGTAATTAACATTAATAAAACATTTCCCTATTCATTAAACTCTGGTATGTAAATAGGATACAGTTTTGGAGCTGCCTTATTGGTGCCTCTAGCTTTCAGTTTCTTCCCTGGAGGGACCAAGAATTGAATGTAGCCTCTTCTGTATGTGAGTCATGTGGTGAACTATTGAAAAGTGACTCCAGTATAGTCCATATAGTAGCTCTTAATCTGAATTAATTTGATGGCATTATGTGATGCATTACAAAAAAAAATGGAAGGATAGGGTGTGTGATGCAGAGAACCGGTGGAAAGTGTCCATTCCTGATTAGCTGGTTATTTAATTGTACATCCATTCTGGATTTTGTACTTCACACTAGGTGGTGACGCTTTGGTATCGAGCTCCAGAAATTCTCCTTGGCTGCAAATACTACTCAACAGCAGTGGACATATGGAGCCTTGGATGCATCTTTGCAGAGATGGTATGTATTTTGGAAATGACCATGGGATGAAGCAGCAAATTGGGCTGGAGTCTGGCACTGAAAGGCTTTTGATTGGCAGAAGCCAGAGAATGTGGCTTGTGATGTTAAGGTCTCAAGATTATTGTACAAATGCGGGTAACTATGCCATTACAGACTCGAAACATCTGAAAAAGTTATTGCTCCTTAAGGCGAGCTTTATTGCTGTAAAACACACTCTCATTCATTTCTGTGTGTGAAACATGAGTACGTCAGGTCAATTAAAGCCTGCTGACAGGATCAGTTGACTTCTGAGGACTGAATTGGGCTTTGGAGAAAACTACTTCCCTGCTAGGGGCAATTTGTGCTCCAAGAATGGAGAATTGGGTCATACACTGAGCATGTGCTGAGGGTTCATCTGCTGAATAATCGGAATGAAGGAATGGGCCAGATTCCTTCTGTCTAGCTTAATGATGTCAGTATTAACACAAAATCCTTCTCCAAGTATCTTCATATATGGGGTTTTATCTCCACAGGGAAGGGCCATCATAATGAACATTATGTTTTTTATATCCTGCTGTTTGCATAATATTTTTATAACTGTATATCAAATAGCCGATACAATAGAATAAAATCACTAACAAAAGGACCGCAATGAAACATTACATCAGGCTAGGAAAGCCTACTATGCTACGGTTCTGACTTTTTGTTCTTCTGCCAAATAGTTAACCCGTAGAGCTCTCTTCCCTGGGGACTCAGAAATTGACCAGCTATTTCGCATCTTCCGCACACTGGGCACTCCGGATGAGACCGTGTGGCCAGGTGTCACCTCTATGCCTGACTATAAGTCCAGTTTCCCCAAGTGGGCCCGGCAGGACTTCAGCAAAGTGGTACCACCGCTGGATGAAGAAGGCAGAAAACTTCTAGCAGTGAGTTTTATGTAGAGGGAGAAGTATTTTGAACTGTAGCATGTGATTACCATACCAAGCTAAGAAAAGGTATAGTTCAGAGGTGGCAACCTGGGCTCTTTTATGACTCGTGGACTTCAACTCCCAGAATTCCTGAGCCAGCGTGGCTGGCTCAGGAATTCTGGGGGTTGAAGTCCATGAGTTATAAAAAAGCCAAGGTTGCCTACCCCTAGTATATATAGTTAAAGGAGCATCTGACAGAACTGGCAATGGCACTCATGTCAAATCAAAAGCACCCTTATTGATTTGTGTTATATATAATGTTGGTATTTTTATCAAATTCTTATTCAGGGTTTGCTCTGCCTCCACGTTTTCCTCTGCTGTCCCGCTTTAAACATTGAATGCTTTCTGTCCGCTTAGTGCCAGGATTGAACCATTAGTCAGTGTAAAACTTGTGAGCTCTTTGCATGCTTTATCCACCTACAAGAAAAAACGGTCTGGGTCTTAGTTTTGAGTGTCCTGACTGTTATCTGTTCATATTCCTTTAGGTTGACAAAACTCTAAAAATCACACTTTTAGTTGCTAGATTTTGTTTCTTGTCCTTAACTTATCATATGACCGTAATGCATAGTACTAACTTGAGCAAGATAGTTGAAGTGAGAGTTGGGAAGTACAAAGCACTTCCAACATATATATTATGTTGCATATTATATATTATAGTATATAACAGTGATGGCAAACCTTTTAGAGACTGAATGCCCAAATTGCAACCCAAAACCCACTTATGCATCGTCGAGTGCCGGGTGGGTGTGGCCCATCGGGTGGGCATGGCTGTGGTGGTAACGGCAGTCTGGGTGGGACTAAAAAGTTCAATCAATCAATTCCAACTTTGCAAGATCTTATTTTTTTCCGCGAGGTTAAAATTGACTGATTGAACTTTTTTTTTTTTTTTTTTTTTGCACATGGCGGCGGAGGCCTAAAGTGAAAAGGTTTTATAAAATCCAGCCGAAGGCCTAGGACTGGGGCGACGGCACGCGTGCCCACAGAGAGGGCTCTGAGTCCCGCCTCTGGCACCCGTGCCATAGGTTCGCCACCACTAATATATAATATAGTGCATAAGACTAATGAAACTTGCACTCTCCTCTTTCGTCTTTAGCTAATGCTGCATTATGATCCCAACAAGAGAATCTCGGCCAAGACTGCTCTCAATCACCCCTTCTTTCGAGATGTCACAAAGGCTTTGCCACACCTCCGCTTGTGAAATGGAACTGGAGCCAACCGAGTTGCTGCAGTGCAGGCTCTGCAACATGCCTTTTCCTCGGGCAGCCCTAGTTGCTTGCACTTAACTTTTCAACTGAACCCTGGAGAGAACACTGGAGGTCCAGTTGGAGCGCAGCCTACACCTTTAGGATTTTATTAAAGCACTAAACTGAGTTTGAGGATTCACTGGTTCCAAACTGCCTTGTGAAGAGAGAAGGGTCTCCAAAGCTACCAGCCCCAAGGATTCAACTTGCTTGAGGCATCCCTTTCATTCTTCGCATGTTTTATCCACCCACGAGTTCCATGCCTTCCTTCTTGGTGACGTCTTCAAAATAATGCATTCTGTATTTGCTTACTCTCCAGCTGTTGACATCTTGCCACAAGTACAGTGTAGATGCTTCTCTTCCTTTCAAGTATAGAAGGGACTTTTATTAGAAGGGCTAAGGGACTTTGGCAACATCTGTCATGGTGTTTTCATCTGCGATGTTGGTCAGTTTGACCCACTGATTACTAAAATAATCCCGAAGAGGTGGGATTGCTGAAGCTGGTGGTACAGTACGCCTTGCTAACTATTCAAATGAATACTGGCTGCATTGCTAAGCTCTTTTTGACATCTGGTATGGAGAATAGGCTGTTTAAAGAAAGAAAAAACTCAAAAAAAATTGCTCATTTGGTGGGGAAATGGGCAAATGTTTATTCACCCAGTATTGAATTGTATACCTGTTTTCTTATTCTGTATCAGTGAGCTGATGGTCTTTCTGAGTTTGTAGCCAATTAATGCCTTATGTTTGGCAATTATGGTTTGCCATTCCAATGCTGTCTTCAAAGAACAGTCGGGAAAGTTTCAAATGTTAATTCCAATGGATTGGCCTTGCATCCTTGACTTTACGTAACGTATCTTGCAAATATAGATGCTTAAATTATATGTGAGCTTTGAAATACATATCGATTGTCTCTCTTATAATCTACAGCCATACATCTTGAGCCAAATATGAGTCATAACCCTAGCTAGAGAATTCACATTAGCAAACTTCTGGTTTGGTTTGGAGAGCTGGAAATATCAATATCTACATCTTTGTGTCACCGTGTTTTGGAGACAACCGGATTGTTCAAATTACATCAGTTGAATGTCATCTAAGTTCTGATTTAAAAAAAAAAAAAAGTAGTCTGAATAGTAGCTAAACAAAATCATGATCAGTTTCTAGTCAATGCCATCTGGAGGTGAAGAATAGTTGTAAACGTTTCATATTGAGAATATTTAAAGACCACTTAGATTTGCTTAAGAGTAGAACACTTTCCTACAGAATTCAGGGTTTTATTTTAGAGTAAGGCAACATGAAGTACCTAAAGCCTGTCTCTAGAATGCAGCAATAACTTAAATCTGATTTTGAAATAACTCCAAATTTCACACTTTTTCGATCAGTTGCATCTTTATGAGGCTTCAGTAAAGCCATCTGGTATTTGATTTCCTGAAATGCTTATTTTTATTAAAAGCATATATGCTGGGGTAATACTCATTTACTATAGAAATGAAACATATATTTTAAGACGGTGAGGACTGCACTTTTCTCAGTTGGGGGAAAGTTCCCATTCTAAGTCATAATTCTTACTATCTTCACTCATAGATGAAATATCCATTGTTCCAGATATGGATGGATGGAGACTTCACTAAGAAAGTTGATTATTTCAGGACCTCTTGAATTAAAATGGACATTCTTACATGACGCTGCTTAGTATAATACAGAAATATTCGTGCCATTATTCACAACAATATTTGCAACATGGTATCCTTTCCCTTCATTGTTGGCTGGAAATTTATATATATATATATATATTTATGGAGCTATTAGTTTTAAAAAAAGTTCTGGATTTGTTAGCCTAAGCACCTTGACATTTTTGTAATATAATCTTTTAAAGAAAAGTAATTATTTTGTTTTCTTAGCTCTTTGTAAGGCAAATGTTTCTAAATACAGTACTACTGTGAAATCAGTTTATAAATCATTAAATAGTAGCAATTTTAACACCTGGCTTTCTTTTCCTCAAAGCAAGGATACTCCTCTGTTTTCATCAAATTTAAGGATTTGCGGGATGAAATGTAAATAGTCTAGCAGTTTAAAGCAACATTTTGATTTCAGGATCTTTTTAAAGACTTAGAAATGATAGAGGACCTCAAAGAGTTTTGGAGTTATCTTATTTGAGCTCCAGAATTATTTTATTTGACTTTGCAACCCCTTGAAAGGATCTTAGGGAATCCAAGGGTCCCAAGACCATGTCTTGAGAATCGCTGGCCTACGTTTTCCATTTGTATCTGCGTATACATTGAGATTTTATTGTGAAACATAAAAAGACTTAATGATAGGTAGTCCTTGGCTTATAATCAGTCACTTAGTGACGAAAGTTACAAAGGACTCCTCCCAAAAATATTTATGGCTCAATTTTGAAGTTTTGATAACTGCTTGCACACACACACATACCTCCTGTTATGCAATCACATGTTGGGCATTTGGCAACCAGTTTATAATTATGGCTGGCTGTAGTGTCCTGTAGACACATCGCTCCAATTTTTTTTCTCTTTTTGCCAATCTCCAGCATTTACTTTTGGTTTCTGGCAAAAACAAAAACCCTGCCCATTGGATAAAATGAATTCACCTAATAATGTCTGCGTTTGCTTAACAACTACTGCAAAATAGGTCATAAAATTGGGTAGTTACCTCAGGCCTTGCTTACTGACTGCAACACCTTAATCAGGATTCCAGGCTTAATTCCAGTCATAAATTGATGTCTACCTATATATAACTGTCTTTTGCTGCAAATGGCATATACATTTTACCAAAGTAAAATGGCTCTCTTGCTTACATCCAAGAATATGTGATTCAGTAGAGATACAGGGATCAGGATGTTATTTGCAAATCTCAGGTCCTAAATTCTGTCCAGGAGACTTGTGTAAATGTAAATTGATATAAAGGTGAGTCCCATTGAACTATGAAAATGTGCGGCCTGTAGGTCTACTACTATTGGACAATTCATAAGAAGTTTTGATTTAAATAGCTCATTCTCCAGCACTGGAGATGGATAATCCACTAATGGGTTAACTTAATCCTCCTGCCCAATCAGATCAAGTCAGCCAAACTTGCCACGCCTGTCCTGGGCCTGTTTGCCTCAGTTTTCGACGAGGACGCAGCTACTGAGTCCTCAAGACCTCCAAATGTGTCATTCTACAACTTTGAGATAACGTCCCAAAGTCAACTACTCACCTGCTAAGACTAATAGTGGATTAGTATCTGGGTTTCCCTTCACCTATTCCAGCATCTTAACCACAATACCACATTCTCTCTCTGACGAATTATGTGAAATCCTAGGGTAATTTGTTTTAAGAAAATAAATTGTGTCAAATATTCCAATCATGATCATCTTGAATTTAAAGGATCCTTCTTTCTAAACAGCACTAGCACAAAGCTTCACAACAGATTTGTGGAAGTGAATCAGATCTCAATTAAAAGACATCTGGACCACAAAAAGGGGGTTATGAATGTTTATTGGGCTAGAAACAAATTGTCAAAAACTGCTTTCCACCAATTTGTAGGTAGCATATAAACGAAGAAAGTGCAATAGCGTCATTCTTCCCAGGAATGATGATCCAACAAAAAACACTTAAGAACAATACATGCAACATCAAAAATCTGTAAAAGAATCCTAGGGTAATGACGGGTTTGCAATCCATTCATACGGCACCATAAGTGCCACAATAAGGAACACTGAAGAAGAGTGGTATAAGGATTATTTAGGAGAAATGTTTCTCCAGAAAACAAGATTGCCATTCATATCAATCTAATCAAAGGGCACTTGAATGATCCAACAGGCTGTTGGATCAATGTTTTGCAGACAGTGGAGGATTTTGGTTTTTGGCTGGAGAAAGCAAGCCACTGTGGGTCATGACAGTGGTATATTATGACTTGGGAGTTCCTTTGCATCCTTAGAACTTGGAAAGCTCACAATCACTTAAGAGTTTTACAAAGGATTCTTGTTAAATCTTGTTTGAAGGATTTTGAGAAGGGACAAAAAAATGAAAATCTGACAGATTTGAAGGGATTAAAGATTTAAGACTGTTAAAATAAAACATAGAAGAAATAAAATTGGTTTATTTCATCATGGTTAAAACAGATACTTTATTTCTGATAACTCTTAATGGACTTTGGCTGACCAGGACTGAACAAACAGACTTTAAAGATTTGTCTATAGGTATGAATCACAGAAAATAAAAAGAACATTTGTTATATGTGCATTTGTTGTATGTCAAATTGCTGATATTACTAAAATTGTTTATATTTGTGATGGGGGAATATTTTTTTCGTTACTTTTTTCCTTTTATGTACTTTCTATTTTTTTTATTCTTTTAGTTTGTATTAGTATTTGTATTTAGTTTGTATTTGTATTATCTTTTTAACTGTAATGTCCAAATCAATTTAAAAAAAAAAGTTTTCCATTCATCTTATCGAGTATTCACCAGGTTTTCATTTTGAGGTATCAGAACCGACGCTGCTGACCATTACCAAAAGACCATAGGCCACAGAAGGCTCCATCTCAACCACACGAAAAAGACCCTTAATTTACCATCTCGCTCCCTTCGCAGACATACTTCGCAGAAGCGGATTATGCTCCGCATCGACTTCGTTCCCTCTCGACCGCGGGAAAGGACGAGCTCAGATGAGGCAGGGGCCGTGGGCACCTAGGCTTTCTCCCTCCCAGTTGATTCCAGGGATCTAGCGCTGTGGCTACCCTTTTTTATACTCTTCGGAGGACTGACCCACCGCCTTCAAGGGCCGCAGGACGCCGAAAAGGCGTCTGATGCTCGAACACCAAGGAGTAGTTCAGAAGAGGGAGAACGGGGTTAGTTCTCCCCTCCGTCTTTTTTGCGGTCCAGCACCTCCTAGCTGTACGAATCTTGGGCGTTACTCAGAAGTACGTCCCGCCGAGACCAGCGAACTTGCGACCTCAGCAATGACGCTTCCGGGACTCAGGTAGACTCGGCTCTCGCCACGCCACGCCCCCCGCATGATTTCCCATTCCTAGAACTCCACCTCGCCCGGCCCAACGGGGGTCAAGGTTCACAGGACTCCCGGAAGTAACTTTTCTCCTTGTGCCATTCAAATTCCTCGTGGCTTCTAATTGGCCCCCGGAGATAGTGTGATCTCCGATTGGGCAAAGAAAGTTCGGCGCACGTCTACCTACCTTCTTTGTCAATTCGGCCTCTCGCTAGGAGGTATGAAGGACATGTGATCTGCGATTGAGCAATATCAGCTACAGAGCGAGCTGTGACTGGTTGGTCCCGCCGGATGGCTCCGCCTTCTTAGGTCACCTTATTTGTTGTTTATGAAACCTCTTGAATCGGCGACCTTTCTACTGGCTGGTTTACTCGTCGATTAAAACGCCAATTGTCTTCTCTATTGGTTGGATACTTTTTAACTCGCCATTCCGCCTCCCTCGCTGCATTGGTGCTAGAGCCGCTGCCCGTCCTTCCCTTCGCGGAGTTCCAATTAGCTAGATGAGGCAAGGGTGCGGTTTCCCGTGAGTGGATTGGTCGAGAGCACGTTCTAGCGCCCCAGGTGCCTAGCGGCCATTGGTTTAGAATGTAGTCTAACTCCGCCTTCCGGCATAGAGTTGGGTTTGGTTGAGATAGTTTGTTTGTGTGCGAAACAGTCGAGGGCCGCGAAGTGGGGGGAGCCAGTGCAGTCTCAGGTACCTATGTGGGGCTCTTAGGCCGCGCCGGCTGTCTGGCATCTCGAGGGATCGTTTTGGCTCCCTGGGAGTGGCTCCCTCAGACCGCAGCGGCTGGACTACGTGAGGGCTAGAGGATGGTCTCGGGGCCTTCGTCTGGCAGTGGGGGAGCGAGAGGAGGGAGTGGGCTTGGCTAGCGATTCCTTCTGATGGGGCGACCGCGGCCTTGTGGCTGGGGGGACGGCGCAAGAGGTTAATTGGAGGCCCTGGCGGGTCCTGTGGAGGTGGGCCTGCCCCTTTTCAACCGGCTACCACGGGAGGACTTGCCACGGAGGGAGGTGGCCTAGAGAAGCCAAAAAGTGGGGCGAAGCGAAAGGCCTCTTAACATCCAGGGCAGCTTGAACGGTGGTGCCGAGCCGGGTGAAGGACGTTTTTTAAACATTAGAA